CCGATCTCACATCGAGATGTGTACGAATGTGTACGAAATTATAAGTATATTGTTCTCATATCGAGAAACATTTACTTACATATAGGAATTATTGGAGAGAAAGGAAGAGAGAAAAAATATCAGGACGCGAGTGGCTAAGCCGGGAATTGAACCCGGGTCTTCCGCTTGCCGGGCGAATGTTCTGACCACTAAACTACTCAGACCCTTAAATGGAGCACTAACATCCTGCGACGGCTCTGGATGCCCCTTCTATTATATTTATTTAAAAATTATTAATATCTAAAAACAGTAGCATCATCGACAGGAACTTTCTCGAAACTTTCTCCGTGCAGAAGGGAAAAAGCGACAAATCATTCTTAGCTTGGCTAAAATTGTTTAAGTGATTTTGGTGGTGGTTTTTCGGGTATAAGGGTGTCTTCCGACGCATGTATCGGATTGGTTTCTTATGTATGTCATGTGAGGGCCTCGGAACTTTCTCCGTGCAGAAGGAAAAGAGCGACAAATCATTTTTAGCTTGGCGAGAATCGTTTAAGTGATTTTTGGGGTGGTTATTCGGATATAAGGGTGTTTTTCGACGCATATATCGAATTGATCTCTTTTGCATGTCGTGTGAGGGCCTCGGAACTTTCTCCGTGCAGAAGGAAAAGAGCGACAAATCATTTTTAGCTTGGCGAGAATCGTTTAAGTAATTTTAGGGGTGGTTTTTCGGGTATAAGGGTGTCTTCCGATGCATGTATCGGATTGGTCTCTTATGTATGTCATGTGAGGACCTCAGAACTTTCTCTATGCAAAAGGAGAAGAGCGACAAATTATTTTTCAAAAATCGCTTCAGGAAACGTTCCAAACTTCAACCAGCTGTTCTTGACAAATGAATAATTTCTGTACATTTCTACTGTGTCTATTCATAATCTCAAAAAAATTATAAAAGTAATGTTACTTCAATATGTTTTTTCATGATGAGAAATATCTGCAAAGTATAAATATCGCTATGTATGTATGTAGAAAATGTTATAAAATATATACAAAATTAATTTAACTCATATAAACTTGGTATTTTATATTATCCGATAAAAATAGTTCTGAATTAAACGTACGGCGAATATCTCGTTTCTTCTCCTACGTTGGAAGCGGCTTGTAAACGATAAGAATGTGAATTGTTACTGTTAACAACCTTTTTACTAGTTAATATAAAATATGATTACATCTGTTTCATGTGACAGCTACTAAATGTACTGCTCTGTTACCTATGTCAAACTTGTACATACGGTCAATGATGTTTATTATTTCGTGTGACGATGTGGCCGAAATCATATGCGATTTGTCAAACGCTAAATAAAGTTGAAATCCATCGAAGTAAACTATTTCTATATTGTAGCATTAACATCTAATTAATAAATTAGAAAAATTATTATAACCAAAACATGTTCATTAATGTTTTTCGAACATTGTAGAAGAAAAAATTAATCATAAACTATGATTTTAATACGAATACAAAAACATCTTTTTTATTTTGTATTTTCTATTCAGCTTTAATCATTATAGAAGGAAAAATTATGTCTTTATTTTTATGTCAATTAATCTAGAATTAAATATTTTGTTTTACCTAAATGAGTTCAATATTTCCTTTTTAATAAGAACCTCGCATTCCATTTCCTTAAAAAAAATTACACACAATTCCTTCTCTAATAAATGTAATTCTTTATCTCAGAACTAAAAAGGAACTTTCAAACAGGAGCTTATACACAGAGTAAAGCGACTTTCCCAGCATTGATCCATTGTTAAGCCTAGTAACCTGTTCGAATCATATGTTGCAGATTTCTGGAGTTCTCGGTTTAGGATGTGTAACGGTGCATTGAACAAAAATCTCATTTCACGTTATTTTAAATACACATATTACCCACTTTCGTCCGTCGTCCGTATTTATAAAAAAATGTAGATTTTTATTGCCAATAAACTTCTATTAAATTAACACAAAACACATTCATCTGTTCAACGGGATAGTTTTAATACTGTTTTGTTGTCAATCTCAAATGTACAGTAAAATGTTTTCGCGTGATAATGTTGACACAACAATATACGATTGTATCAAGAAAAATTTTAATTTCAAAATTTTATTAAACTAATTTTATTAAGTGATAATGAACAATGCTACACCTGTTAGACTTTTTGCACTCCATTCGATAATAATAATTTTACATCTGTTAAGCATTTTTTAATTAATCCAATTGTTAAACGTATCAAAAATCACAAAAAAATATTTCCATCTACTATAAAAATATATTACAATAAGAAAAGAAAAAAGAGAGCAAAGAGAAAGAGAGAGAGAAAGAAAGAAAAACATAATAAAAAAAGCTGTAAATATTAATGTTATGTGCTTAAGAAGTATAATTATATTCGAAGAATAAAGAAAATTTACTAATTTTTTAATTGGCACAGTTGATTTTGTTGAAATGCTAAAATTAAAATACCAGAATTATTTTGTTTTCTAATAAATATATTCTCAATGTCACAAAACATTTTGTATCTTGTCTTTTTATTTCATCAAAAATGTTACAATTAATATTAAGTCTTACAGATATGTCAATTAAGCTTTAAGATTTTATTTTCATTAATCATGTATGTTGTAAACAACTGAATTGTAAAGTACAAAAAATGTGCAAAGATGATAAAACAAAATTTAATTATTGAGTATTTTGAGTATTCAAAATTATACAAAGTGGAACATAATTATATATATTATTAGCGTTACAGAAAAAATGTTCTTATTTTATTTTTCAAAAAGTTACACAGTCTTAATTATGACCAATAAAATATAGATAAAACACATTAAAAAATTAATTACTAAAGTGCCAAAATTGTATTACATATTTTTGCAACAAAAAAACTAAATGTGTACACGTTGTTTGATACTATAAAGAATATATTAATATATATAGTAATAGAATTCAAATCATTCTAAGATATCTTGAGTTAAAGACTGAAAATTAAAAAGTCTCAATACATTTTGTAAGACTGTTAGGATTGAAAAATCTTGAAAATCTTAAAAGTTTTTAAAGTTTTGATTTCTTGAAAGTCTCGAATGTCAAGAATGTATCAAATATTATGCATAAAATAGTACATATACATAAACACACACACACACACACACA